GTTTCGCCGGGGCGTCTGGGCGCGGCGTGCGGGCGCCTTCTCACCTCCGGGTCTGCACCGCGGGGCTGTATTTGCCTTTGTTTCTCTTCTTGAATAGCGAGTTCATGGTGGCGCTCGGGGTGCGCAGGCGGGCGGGCAGCGGGTCTCGGCTCTGGGCTGGACGCTAAGCCGCGGGCGGGCCCTGCGCGCACCGAGGGGCGGCAGCGGGCGCAGGTGAGCGAACGGTGGCGCAGGAGCCCGAGTGCAGCGCGGCTGGGGCGCCGGGTCACTACTCGCGGGGGGCGGGTCACCCGCCCGCCACGGGCTCTCGGGGCCGCTCCCGGGAAGGTGGTGCTTACCTTCCCGGAGGAGGGGCCACCGGACGGGCGGGGCTTCCAGGCGCTTCGGGCGCGCGCCCCAGGCCCGGCAGGAGCGAGTGGGGCACTCGGCCTGGGCTGGGGTGGGGTGGGGACGCGGGGTCTTGTCTGGACACCCCCTTCCCAGCAGGGGCACTCCAATGGCTGGGCAGGCAGGCAGGGGCGCACAGGTCGCTTCCCAGAGCACCCTCAGCCCCACCCTCACCCCCGGCCTGGCACGCCCCCTGGCTGAGGGCCCCTCGTCTGGCTCTCCGTTGCCTCTGTTATTGGCTAATACCCAGGTGGGGCCTCCCCAGGCAGTTGTGACAGTCTGGTCTCTGCGCCCTGGATAGTTAGTGAATTACACTCAGGTGGTAGCAATGTTGATGACAATTGAGAAAAAGGGGCTTTGGAGTGCGCAGCCGGGGTTCAGATCCTGCCGCCACGAATGGTCAGCTAGACAGACGCCTTGGCAATGCGTCTTAGCTCTCAGACTCAGTTCCCTTATTTGTCAAACAGTGATAACCGCCCCCGTCCCAAAGGCTTATGAAGAGATTCTTGTAAATAATTCACACAAAGCGGTTAGCACAGTGCCTGGCCCAAATGCGCAGCAAGCTTTGCCATTATTATTATCGTGCCATCTAGGGCGGACAAAAATTCCTTTGAAACTTTAATAACTCCAGGCTTTGGCATGATAGAACTACTTCATGGCTGGTCATAAAAGCTGTTGGATTTGGATTCAGAATACCCACATTGCACAATTCTGCCAGCCTGTGCCCGGGTTACACTGTCCCTCTGTGCCTGGGGTAGATGGGGGACCAGTGTGTGCCCAGGTTACCCTGTGTGCAGTGGAGATGGCTACAACTGGACAGGCAGTAAACCCAGTCCAGCGGTGAGGCCAAAGGAGGCCGGACAGCTGGGAGGGTTCAGCGTCACTCTGGGGGGCACTGGGGGCTCTGAGCCCAGCTGAGAGGGAGGAGCACGCAGTATCCAGGGGAGGGGCCAGAAGGCAGCAAGATGAAGGACAAAGGACTGTTAGGGCTCAGATGCGGGCAATGAGGTCTGCGGCGGAGGGAAGCAGGTACCCCTACTGGGCATCCAGAGTCCTCATGCGGGTCCCTTTTCTGCCCGTTTTTTATTCATAAAATAAGGAGGTTGGTGGGGAAGTGGGTTCCCAAGGGATTACTCTGTCCCAGACCCAGCAGCGTTGGAGAACACCTAGCGTACTTTGGGCTTTCTCTTGTTTCTGTCACCAAAGGACAATGGTTTCAGTGTTACAGAGACTCTATGAAACCTTATTCTTAATAGGGCATCTGTGGGTGGGCTTAAGGGGGTCTGTGAATCTTCCTACAATTACTTTCAAAATGTGTGTCCATATGTGCATTTTTCTGGAGGAGGGTCTATCACTCGCAATAGGCTCATTCATTCACTCACTCAACAAAAACTAGCACCCTCCCAGCCTCGGCTGCCCAGTTCTGCTACATTGATTAGAATAGGGGAAAGCCAAAAATAAAAAATAAAAAAATAAAAAATAGCAAAGGGCCTTTCTCTTGGGGGGGCGGGGTTTGGGGAAGATACATTCATACTACTAATTTTTAAAAATCGATGTCCCTTAAGTTACTTTTCAAAAGGGTCTGGGAACCTAAAAAGGATACAGGGACCTGCCAGAGCATCAGGATCCCAGGGGAGTTTGTAAACAGGCAGATTCTAGGGCCCTGAGCCCTGCAGCTCCTGACTAGGGAGCATAGGAAGGGGCCAAGGAATCTGAACTTCCCCTTGAGAGAAGCCAGGATTGAGGGATCCCAGCTGCACCACCTCCAGCTGTTCAGGTGGGAAGCCCTTGAACAGACCTTCCTGCCAAATCTAATCCTGTGAACTTGGCTCTGCCTGGCTCCTCTCTCAGCCCTCCTCCCCCCAGGTGGAGAGTTTCTCACAAGGCAGCTAAGGGCTTGAGCATTTCCCTCCATCTGAAGTGACTTTTCTTCCTAGCTCTGAGGTTAGGATGGGCCTGGAGGTCACCGAGGGACTCACCTCTAGGCAGCCTACACTGGGAGCACATGTCAGGGAGGAGCCAAGTTTTCAGAGCACAGGTGAAGGGCCCACCTGGGACCTGCAGAAGCCTCAACTCAGAATACTGAGGTCAGGTGCAAGAGCAAAGTGCAAGGGAGAGAGAGGGTGAGGGAAAGAATATATGTGTGTACACGCACAGAAAACTTCTGGAAGGATCCGTGAGAAACTGTTAGCCGTGAGTCCCCTCAGTAGGGACAGGAGGGAAATCTGAATTTTCATTGTACATCTTTTTAGAGCGTTTGGGTTTTATTCTGATTTATTTGAATTTTTTAAAAAATTTCTTTTGGACTTTATTCATATGTGTTCGAATTGCTTTTTCAGACCCAAGTCTGGCATTCCCTTTTCCCGGAGCTTTCCTGCTGCCTCCTCCCTTTTATTCCCCTCACCCCAACTTCATGCCCCTCTGTCAGCACCCACCTTATCGGATAAGGACCGAGAGATACGGTGGATTACAGATGATATGTTTTGAGGAAAATAGAGCCCATGCTGAGGAAGGGAGCTGCTCTATACCGTCCAGTTTCTAAAGTCTAAGACCTGAAGTATAAAGTTACAACTACAAAACCAGACTGGGTTGAGGGCTCCAGAGATGGGGAGGGACAGCAGGCTGGGGAGACCTGGGTTGCAGTCCTCACTCAGTCCCTTTTGGCTGTGTGAATGTGGGCAAGTCATTTTGCCTCTCTGAGCCTCAGTTTCCCTCATCTGTGAAATGGGCACAACTGTAGCATTTCCCCTCATAGGGCGAGCTCCCATTTATTAAGCATTTAACAAGCCCACTGCCAGTTAGTGAGGGCTCGACGAATGGGGAGTGGGTTACATCTGTAGCTGGAGGCTCAATGCTTATAGTGTTGAGGGGTACAAGTGATGACAAGAATTCCAAACTCTGTCCAGACTCTTTCCAAATCTCTTTTCCCCATACCTCCTAAGAAGTTGCAGGTTAGCTTAGGGGAGGGAACCAGACTAGGGACGTAGAGGTAAACAGGCTACTGCCTCAGCTGCTGAGTAATAGCCGTGGCATTGATGATATTAACGCCGTTTCTCATTTATTCAGGGTGATTCCATGCCAGGCAACATGGCATGTGCCTGACACGCTCAGCCGATTGTCTCCAAGGACGCCCATGGGATGAAGCAGAACAGCCCTCCCCACCTGGGAGGAAGCTCTTATCTCCTGTTCTAGGAAAGGCCACTGAGGTCCTGAGAGGTCTGTACCCGCTGGGCTGGTTCCCGATCAGCCTGCTCCAGCTGGAGTTCTCAGATCCCCCTCCCCAACCCCTCCACCCTCCCAGGCTCCTGCTGACTCAGCTGGGCCCCGCCCAAGAGCTTCAGAGAGAATTAGCAGATTTAGGGAGGAATTTGAGTTGTGCCTCACCATCCCTCCTCCCTCATTCTCTAAAAGCTGGGCTCCGAGCTGGTGTGGCTATGTGTGTGTATGCACGTGTGTACACACGTGTGCACGACACTCGTCCTGGGCAGTCCGGATGGGGCGGGAGCTGCGTTCTGGCCCTGAGCATCCTCCTGTGGGCAGATGGGATTTGTTTGGTTCCCCTCTTATGCCAAGTGACTCATCCCTCTGTCGACCCGGGATCGGGGTTCAGGGAGGGTGTTTGTTTTCCTGGTGTTTGCTTGATGGTTAAACTCATGGAGATGGCACCCACAGGACCATCCGGTTCCTTGGCAACCAGGCCACCCTTGGTCCCTGAGCCCTGTCTCCTCTCACTGCTGGAACAAACTGCTGGTTCCCAGGAGGCCACCACTTTCCTGAAGGTCACCCACATTCTCCTTGTTTGCTGTCATCGTTTCCCCAGCAGCTGGAGAGTTGCTCACTCACTTGCTGGCTCTGTGAACCAGTTTGAAACAAGAAGGGCAGCATTCCCCCTGCCCTGGAGAGAGGGAGGGGCATGTGCAGGTCCCGATGGCCTGTTCCTTACGGTAGAGTCCTCTCCTCCCAGGGCGGGGGCGGGGGCGTGGGCGGGCGTGGGCCTACTCTCCCATCTCCGACTGCACAGCCTCACCCCAACCTGGGGAGCATTTACAAATGCAGATTTCAGGGCCCCCTTCCGAGTTTATGGTGGCAGGGCCCAGGAATCTGCATATTAACAAAGAGCTACCCCCCTCCCATAATAAAACTGGTGGTTTCTGGACCACCCTGAGAAGCACAGGTGTGAACAGGAAGAGATTCAGCACACACTCAGATCCTGCGAAAAGCCCATAGGCTGTAGCTTAAAGCCAACCTGAGTTTGAATCCTGGCTCTGCCATACATCTAGCTGTGTAACCTCGGATAGGTGGCTTAACCTCTCTGAACTTTGGTTTCCCTATCTGTAAAATGGGGAAGAGCTTGTGCATCTGGCATAAATGCCCCTCACCTCCCTGCCCTCTGAGGGACAGGACTGGGCTGGCCCAGCTTCACCCTGTGTTTTGTAACATGTATTTACTTTTCTAGTAGAACAATGCAAGGGATGGAAAATCATGCGAGGCCTCCAGCCCAGATGGGCTGACTCACACTCAGAACTGGGCTGGGGGCCTGGTGAGCTCCCCACAGCCCTCACTGGGGCCAGAGGGGAGGCTGGGCCCTGGCAGCAGGGACCAGAAAGGGTCCATGGTGAGTCACCACTCTGCTTGCCCCTGAGTCATTCGTTCCCTAAGAATGTGCCTCGGATCTACCCTCTGAGGGCGGGGGGCTGGCAGGCTGCCCCATCTGGGCCACCTCCCCACCGCTTGCCAGGCAGCCCCACCCTGCTGCTCCCCCAGGGAGTCCCTGCTCTGATGACCCCCTGCTAGCCCTCTCTGGATGCAGGTGTGTACCTGGATGACTGTCGTCAAAATATTGAAACAGTTCCCCACCAGTGATTGGATAGTGGCTGCTTCAAGCCCCGGGGTCCCCTGGCCACCCTGTCCCTTCCTCCAG